ATTTATGACATTTTGTTTAATTAAAAGCTAAATTCCTAAGCCATGTAGGAAAATACTAAAAGAAACAAATGTAGGCTTCATAGTTAAACATTCACTGTTTGGTTTTGGGAGCCTTGTGCTTCACAGTATGAAGATCATCTGCTTTGCACGCCCTGTAGTGTGTCTGCATTCATTGCAATCACACAGTCTATTCATTCTGTGACTATTTACTTATTTTTAGAAACAGAAAAAGCTGTTAATTTTCAGTAAATCAACCTTACAGTCTGGACAGAACGTAGGAGTGGAGTAGGGTGGAAGGACGAGCTCTATTCTCAGAATTTGAATGGAAAACTCCCTCGTTTTGCCTGGTCAAACTTTGGTTTGGAGATGTGTAAGCACAGCCGAAGCTCCCTTCTGGAATTTTGGGGGAAAATATCGGATGCCATCTAAGGCACAGAATCCACAGGCTAATGAGCTCTTCACCCCTAGACTACCAGGAAGCTTGAAGGGGGAGAAACATTAGGTTCCCACAGTCCCACCAAATAGTCCCACTATTCTATTTTAGTATTATCATCTTTGGTAAAATAGCACATATTAGATGCCACAGAATCCTTAACTAATACTCTCTGAGGCCAAAAAAAGTTTTTAAAGTGTATAGGAGTATATTAAAATTGTTAAAATGTCACATGTTGAAGAACTCAGTCATCTGTTTTTATAGGACTTTAACAAAGTGACCGAATGACTGAAAGTTATGCCCCTTCTGTAAATGGATTTCTTAGTCAACTTCACTGGTGACTGTGATGTAAGATGTAAGATGACCATAGTGATTTACTCAAAAACAAACTCACAAGGCACTAATAACTTCAGTAAAAACTGAGGGCAGTGAAGAAGTTGCAACAACTTTAGTAAAAGAATGAAAGAAATCTCAACAACTCTAGGTAAAGAGGAAGATCTCTGTGGATAATAGAGCAATTGTAGCTGAAGTCCGTGGTTTTGCAGAAACCACATCGTGGTACCAAAATGAGGCTCGTTTCAGGGGTCAGCAAGCTTTCTCTGAAAAGGGCTAGAGTAAATGTTTTAGGCTTCTGGTCTCAGTCACAACTACTCATTTGGCCACTGTGGCTTGAAAGCAGCAGTAGAAAATATGCAAATGGGTGTAGCTGTTTCAGTAAAACTTTATTTACAAAAATCATATGGGAGGCTGGATTTGGCCCTCAGGCTGTGGTTGCCGACTGCTGCTCTAATCAGTAGGAAGCTCCCTTGTTTGTATGTTTTAAGTATAGAAAAGGGAGGTGAGGAGAGGCAGAGACAGAAAGAAGCATATTACAAAAAGTATTTAAAACCAGTGATTCATTTAGGTGGAGAGAGTAGCCACTTAAGACAGTGTTTTCCAACCAGCCATTCATCAGAAGTGAGAACCTTTGATTTAAAAAGTCAATTGACAGAAAAAGCTGTTGGACTAAGAGAAAATGATAGCAATGGAATAATACAGATTAAAAATCTCATAAAATGGACTGTGTAGAACATTTGTTATAAAATCCAGGAGGCTTCATGCCAGCTCTCAAAAAACAGCTGAAGGGCTTAGGGAGAGAGGAGCGCTCATGAAGGAAGGGTGGTGGTGAGGTCTTGGGAGTCCCCAGAGGGTCCGAGGTCGTGGTTCAAGCCTTCAACCTTCAATCCTGAGCTGCCACGGGGCCAGCCCTGGCTTTGCTGCGAACTGTCACTTACCTTCTGGGGGCCAAACTTTCCTTATCTGTGACACCATTTTCACCGAGAAGTGTGGGATTCTTGTCACACTGGATTTTGAGAAATCCTAACCTCTTGTCCCTTCTCTTAAGAAGTTAAACTAAACACAAGTGTTTAAGAGTGAGAGAAAATTACAGACTATGGCATTTAACTGCCCTTTGGCAGGATTTTCACTGAATCACAAAAACAGGACTAAACCTTCTGAAGGGCATTCAGTTCAGATGAAGAGGTACCCCTCTGTACTCTTTAGGGGCTTCTTTTTATCAAAGAACTTTCAATAATCACTCTAAGTAACTTATCAACTCTACTTTTCCGGAGATGCTTCCCTGGTCTTTGGGGCCATTTTGCCAGGAGTGCCCCCTTGATATGCCAGCCGTGTAAAGAAAGCAGTTCAGTCAATGTGTGATCAGGGGCCTGAGTGAATGCTGCTGTGCAAGTCACTCCTGTGGATGGGGATCCAATTTGCATGGCCTGCAGTGTGTTTCTGCCTTTTAGGGAGAATCACTTTGATATTTTTAACATAGCAGCTCCAGATAACGTGGCTGGAGCTGAATAAAATGCTGTTTGAGAAGATGAGGAAGGAAGAGAAGGGGAGTGTTATTTTGAGAACTGGAAGAAGGCTTTTATGTACAGTATAGACCATGACTGCTGACTTTGTACTAATTAAACAGTCCGTGTACATGGTGGCTGGGGCTTGCAGAGTCCACTGATTTTTAAGAACTCCTAGGTTTAATTCCATGTTCCATCTCTTGGCATGGCGTTCTGTTCACTGCACCACTGCATTATATCCATTTTATACATTACCACTTCATTATCCACAACTTAGTCTCTTTGCATTCAACCCGTAATCACTTATTTCTGAAAGCGTTGAATCGAGGATTAATGCTTCACATCAGCCTTTGTCCTTCTATGAATTAGCAATAACCATTTTTCTGGGACCAATGTGAATTCAGTCTAGGAAATTAAATCACTGCTGTGTGCGCAATGAAACAGAGCTCACGGGAATAGTGGGACTAAGGGGCACAGCACCCAAACACCTTTCATCACTGATACAGTTAAAAAAAAAAAAAAAAGGAGGAACCTAATAAAAGCTGTAGTACAGTTTTAAGCGTTGCTAGGTGGTCACGAAATATAGAAATACCACAACCAATGTGGCAGGTTATCTTGAAAAGGACCCGAAGGGTGCCTGGGCTGGCAGGCCTTGGAAGGACTGCATCTCTGGGACTGCTGAAAAGTAGAGGAAGGAGCGACGGGAAGTCAGATGGAAAGTTCTAGCTCGGGTTACAGACTGGTGTGACTGCCCACAAGGGCAGCAGTGGAGGAGCCAGTGCTGCTTGAGGCAGTGTGTGTCTTATGTATTCCTGTGCAACGCAGTTCAGCTAGGTGCAGTTTTCTGTGTTCATCTACTGTTCCTGATGGACCGAGGTGTACAGAAGTAAACAGGGAAAGTACATTATGCTCAGATCATTCCCTCTTACATCAATTGCATTAGAACAGCTCTGCATTTTCAAAACAAGTGCTCTAGCCAAACTGACCACGTTTGCTAACCTGGCACCAAGGACAGTAGAATGCACTAAGAAAGCCTTCCATCCATCAGTGGTAGTCCAATAAAGTTTCAAGAGATGCTGACACAGAACTGTGGTTGGTAAAAATTAAAAATAAAACGATATACTTCACAGGGTATTCACTGGAGAGATTTCTTTTCTCTGCCTGTCCGTCTTGCAGCAAGTCCATTTTGGTGTGGAAGTTTCTATTCTGTACTAATCAAAGAATTCACAGGTTGAAGGCAAAGCTCCTGAGAATGAAAAGATTCAATTTCACCTTGCCTTCTTCAAGGAGCAGCTAAAGGTAGTCTTAGTACTGAGTACTTAAAATTTATTTGCCACAGAGAAACACAATCGAGAGAGAGGAATGAAGGATCCACCTTGTGAGTCATCAAAGTGCTTTATTTTGTAAAGCCTGGCTCATGACTGGAGTGTATTGTTAGCACTAGGAGATACAAGGCAAACTTCCTTACTCTGTCCAAATAGTTTATCGACAGAACTGAATGACAGAAACTGTTACAGATAAAAATAAAGCATTTTGTAAACTTCTAAAAGCATACAGAGACTGGCCACAAAGTAGTTACTCAAATAATGTATGTGTACCTTATCTTTACTTCAGGGTCTCACTTTTGTAGTCTTGAGTCAAAGAAACCACAGTTGAACTTCAGAACACTGAAACTGACTTGATGCCAGAATGAATGGTGTGTGTGTGTGTGTGTGTGTGTGTGTGGGCAAATCACAGTCTTAACTAATTTTAAATGCATAAAATACAGATTTGGACAACCATGTCACAGTGGCAGTAACATCATCTACTGTGGCTAACATACCTGGGTGGTCAGTAACTCGTGGTAGAATGGTGTTGCCGCTGGCTTCCAGAGATCCTGATTTGCTATCACCTCATGTTTTCCGAAGTAAACCAACGCAACAGTGGGCATTATCGCAGTCTTGATAAGCCCTGAAGTAAAGTTCTTGGAAGAGGCAGTACGGCAGGGGGTATTTGTTGAGTTATAAGTAATCACTGAAGGGTAGGTTTTTTTTTCTTTTCTGAAACTGCCTACAAAAATCATCTCATATTTTAAACAAAGAATTTCAAAGGCACAGCTTTAGCACAGTGTATAAGTTGATAACCTACTCTAAGCAAGTCTAATATTTTAGCTTGACGCCTTTCAGAAAATGCCAGAAAGTTGGTAAATACATGATCGATGTTGGAAATTTATAAACTGGTTAAAAACACAATCAGCACAGTTTAGGGCAATGAGCTTACATAACCAGATTTGGGTTAAACATGTTTTTAAAAAATCATCAGGTTGATAAATGTACATCTGGAAGAAACAAAACAACCCTTTTCCTTTTATTGTAGAAGGCTGCCTACCATGTACTTTGAATAAAACATTCACCCAAAAACAGGACTGCAGGATACATTTCAAAATATGACAAACATTATTTCACCTACACTGTAAAATGACTTTACATGTAAACTTCAAAAATCACATGCTGTACATTAAATTTTTAGATTCAAAAATATCCCTGTTTTCCTAATAATGTAAACAGTAAAATTGAGGGTTTCAGTTCAAGGGATAATTCATAACAAAATACCACTGTTTAACCAATGGTGAAACAGAAACATCTTAGAATTCAGATTTGCCATCGTTAACAAAGAGAATTCAGAGTTCTAATGCTTCGCTCACCTTCCCACAGTAGGAGATGTAGATAACATTGCCCAAAACTATGCACTTTTCAGGTAAGCTTTATTTTTATTTTGTAGCATTAATTCCTATATTGCAACATAAGAGTGTAACAGTGAAGAAGCTCCAGGCAAGAAAAGAGAATTAAGCAGTTTTCCTGGACATACTTACTGAGGTGAGAATGTACAGACAAGAGTCACTAGGGGCATCAGCTTCTTGCTGGAGGAGGGGCATTCGTCCCCGGACGCTGGGGTCCCAACACTGTGATGCGGACAGAACCCCGAACCGGGGCATGCTGGAGATGCCAGCACTCCTCTGTGTGCAGTGCCGGGGGCTCGGGGTACAACTATTAAGGAGTGTCCGCGTGCGGGGTAGAAATGTAACATTCGCAGTAAGTCTTTTTCTTTTAATCACCATCATTATTATCATCATTATTATTATCTTCATTATTATTATGAATACTATCACATCTTTCGACTCCAGAAAATAAACTGATCCACAGTTTATTGCGTGACGCCAACATGGTTGGTCTGACATGCATTTCCTTCACCCCCTCCCCCCGCATGTGCTCATCCATCCGTCCATCCATCCACAGCAGGAATCAGAGGCTTGTTGCCCAAATGCACTCTGACTGAAGCTGATCGGCTTTCATTAATTAATTTTTAATACACACGCATACGCGCGTGCGCACGCACGCACAGACACACACACGTGCGCGGCACACACACACGTGTCAGAAATAGCTAGAACGATGCTGGGAAATATCAGGTAGCTGTTAAAGCGAGTAGCCTCCAAATCAGTCATCTTGGCCTGAAGATGTAAACGAGGAGGTGTGCTTCACTGAGTTTGGTTTTCATGTTTCCTACACCGAAGCCACCTCTCTCTCCTTCCCGGGCTCATGTCCGTCCAAGGCCATGTGGGAGGTTACGTCAAGATGTGGCCAATAAAGTCCAAAAAGCGCTTTGAATACTGTTCTGGGTTCACGGTCGAGATCTCTGCACCAGCCTAGGCAGATGTCAAGGAGAAGAATATCGATTCAATTACTACTTAGTATCTGTAGCAATTTCCAATTGCAGCTAAATACAAAGCTGATCATTTTTCAATCTCTGCCTCTGTTCTTAAAGCATAAAATATTTTGGACATTGTGTCTGAATAATCAAGGTTCTCAGGAATCTCTGTGAAGATGAGGCAAAGACTCAGAGTAATGACAGATGCTGTGATCACACTGTGACTGCAGCAACTTAAAAAAAGTGACCTAGCCATGTTTGGGATGTTCCTATCGCACAGTGGACTCTGTGTGGCCTACGTTCAGAAGCCATGCCAAACAACATTTCTGTTTTTCAGGAGAGCACATTGGAGATACCCTAATAGCAACATTTGGCTAAAGGAAAATCCCAGTGACAATGACATAGGATGGTGTTTCTTCTTCAGGATCCAGGCAAGTGGTTGAGTGCTCTAGAGAGGGGTGAGGGCAGCGGCAGTAGGGCCCGTGTCAGCTGGCACAACGGCCAGGTGAGAGACACATCAGGCTGCTGACGGCACCTCCCCCAGAGGGCCAGGGGCCGGATTCACTCAGCACGGGCACAGGGGTGCCACTGTTCCCCTGCACAGAGACCTGCTTGGAGCAAGGAGGGGGTGCTCAGTGGGGGATTTCCTATTACAAGAGGCAGCACTGGCGACCAGACTCAAGGTATATAGTTACTGCCGGTTTCCTGAGCTGCCAAGGCCAAGACCAGTTTTACTAAGTCACCAGGTGTTATTTTTAGACCCAGACTCACCGGGGAACCTGTGATTTCCAAGCTTGGCCGGGGCCCCTGGGATCTTCACGGAGGAGCCCAGGCCTTGAAGGCAGAGAAGAGGTGCCAGTGGCAGCTCAACACAACATCCTTTGCTAAGTGGAATGTGTGGCTCCTGCAGAAAGCCCAGTTTTAGGCCATGTGGCATGTGTTGGAGCTGAGCTGGTGTCTGATGGTGGAGACGAATGAGGAGCCATACTCCGGCCAACGTGTAGTTGCACGTGGTGTGTGGCATTTTGGGGCACTTAGGGCAGGGACAGCACAGAGTGCCTCCCTCCAGTTGGCTTGTTGGCCTCACACATCCTCTGCAAACCCTATTGGCAAGGTGGCGGGTCCCCTTCACCAGCTAGGGCCCACAAGCTCCAAAGTGTTTTCTCAAGGTTACACGACCAGGAGAGCTAACGTAAGGATCATGGGGATTTGGACCCAGTTCTGTCCTTCCTGTATACCCACGGTTCTTAATCAGAGGGGAGCATCAGAATTACTACAGAGCCTTTTAGAGAACCATTCCCACCTACCACCCCCCCACTCCTGCCTCTGGAACTGGACTCGGATCAGGGAAAGGGGATGTGCATCGGGCATGCACACATTTTAACAAATGCGACTCTGAAGGTTGCGACGCCAGCGGCTGGGTGAGAGCTAGTGGTGCCCTCCTCTCTTACTCATACAGGATTTCCAACACTTGTTGTGGATTGCCTGAGGTGTTAGTCCCTGCATTGCACACAGTAGGAATACCATAAATAGTGGCTGCTGATGTAACTGTGTCTTTGGAAAATTGAATATGGTTTTAGGCTGGTTCCTTCCCTTGCTGGGAGGACAGCATGTTTGATTTTAAAAATACAGAAAAGGGGTCTCGAATAGAGGTTGAGGTTCCAGTGTGTCTTGCTTGGTTGTACACACTACTGAGGAGGTACCTCTCCTTCCAGTGTGAACAAGGCAAGGTCCAGGTTCATCTCTATGGGATGGGGTCTCTGGCTTTTTTAGCAACACCTGGAAAGCCAAAACAAGTCTCTACGATACAAGCATAATGGATATTCACAACTGGTGAAGTTCAGCCAGGCAGGTGGGATCTGCTGGTAGGGGAGGGGGATGGGACTAGCATGGAATGGGGGGCTGGGCTTGGTTCTGGGGAGCAGTCCCATTTCTACCACCTTCTAGACCTGGGCTTTCTCCCTCAGTTTTTTTCAACTGATAAACAGGGATACACTAGTACCCTTCACAGGCTTGTCATGGGCAATTCAACAAGTCAACATGTGCCTAGAATAGTGATAATTTAGAACAAGCACAATAAAGGTGAAGAATTCATGTTATTAAACTTAGATCTTGCACCCAAAAGATTTCTATAATAGAAAAAATACAATTCACTGCACAAAAAAATAATACTGCATATTCGGGAAGTGTCTGAAGCATAGGATTGCGCTTCAGTTCTGATCATGTCAGTTTTGAGAATTCATGTTAAAACACTTAGCTGTCTTTGCTTTTATCTTTGAAGCATTTTCCTAACAGAAACGAATTTGTACAATATTCTAGAGACGCATGTGTCTGTCAGTAGTATCCCCAGTGTGTCGAAAGACGACTAGCTGCTGAGTTTAAGCGACTTGCTCAAAGTTTAGGGAGGGCTACATTAGCTGTTGGCATTTGCTGACTCTATATTTCACACTCCAAACTCGACCCCCCAAGCGAACAAGAACCACTGAGGGCCTCTGGACAGCTTGGTGGCAAGAAGACAACCAGAGCTGGTCCCCGCACCACAGACAGCATCAGGGGCCCAGAAGCAGAGAAGGAAACAGAGTGGAGATACTTACGCCATGCTTAACAGTTTTTGCCGCGTGGGCTGCTTTCTTTTTTGCATCATAATGAGTCAAAATGTCAATAATGGCCATAAAGTACACCTCTTTCCTGGGAGAGTCTGTAAAGGGATGAGAGCAGTGAATGTGGGACAAATGCCACCCCCTGGAGAAGCGTGCCCTGGAGGGTGCAGGGTTCAGGACAGGGATTGGAAGAGTCTGAAAACAAAGGCCCTGTACACTGAAGTTCAAACACATTCTAAGAAAAAAAAACAACAACACATTTTTTATGCCCTCCTTTGTGTTTATGGGATGAGGAGAGAAGCAAAATGGGTGAGGGGGGTTGGGGGATACAAGGCTTCCAGTTACAGAATGAGTAAGTCACAGGAGGAAAAAGGCACAGCATAAGGAATGTAGGCAGGGATGTGGCAACAGTGCTGTGGACAGATGGTAGCCACACTTGTGGTGAGCACAGCATCACATATAAACTTGTCTAGTCAGTATGTTCTACACCTGAAACTAATGTAACTGTGTGTCAGCTAGCCTCGAATAAAAAAAAAGTGATTAAAAATAAAATAGTAATTTGTGAAAAAAAGTCCACATAACTCCTGTGTATCCCTGTTAAATAGCTTAATTCTCTGTTCTGAGTTCTCTCTCCATTTAAAAGGAAAAAAAAAAAAAGTATAACCCCAGAATACTACCAGTAAAGGTCCAAGGGCAAGATTCTTTTCATTTTTTTGTTAATGTGCATTTTCCTTAATGATTATGTATTGCTTTGGTGTAAAGAAAAATGCTATTCTTAAAATACAACAAGTAGAGGTAATTATGGTCCTTCATCCCTTTCTCCCATTACAGTTTCATTGTGCTTTGCAGATACTGCCTTCTTTACAAACTGAAGGTATGTGGCCACCTTGCATCAAGCAAGTCTGTCAGCACCATTTTTCCAACAGCGTTTGCTCACTTTGTGTCTCTCACATTCTGGCAATGTTTTCAACTTTTTCATTATTATATTTTTATGGTGATCTGTGATCAGTGATTACAACTCACTGAAAGTTCAGATGGTGGGCAGCCCGCGTGGCTCAGCGGTTTAGCGCCGCCTTCAGCCCAGGGTGTGATCCTGGAGACCCCGGATCGAGTCCCACATCGGGCTCCCTGCATGGAGTCTGCTTCTCTCTGCCTGTGTCTCTGCCTCTCTCTCTCTGTCTCTCATGAATAAGTAAATAAAATCTTAAAAAAAAAAAAAGTTCAGATGGTTAGTATATTTCAGCAATAAAGTATTTTTAAAATAAGATATGTGTATTTTTTTAATTGTTTAAGACATAATGCTATTGCACGCTTAATAGACTATATAGTATAGTGTACACATAAATTTTTTATGTACTGGAAACCAAAAAATTCATTCCACTTGCTTTACTGTGATAGTCCAGAAGTGAACCCACAGTATCTTTGAGGCATGCTTGTACATATGACCCTTCATAATTCTCATTGAGTCTAGCATCAGAACTGGACAAAGACATGTAGCATCTATAAGATCGGTCTTCTATGTACTTCCAAAACTATAATGCTGCTTTAACTATAAACAATAAGATAAGTACATTAGACTATATCTAAATTTCTGTGTTGAAAATTTTGGTGAGCAAAATAAAAAACACAACTCAAACTCACTTGGATGATATGGTACATGAGATTTTTTTTTAAACAATGATGACCTACCATTTTTATTACTCAAAAACCAAAAGGCCTGAATTTATCATCTCTCTAAATTATTTTGGTTTTCTCATGTATAAGTAGTTAAGGATGTAGAAGGCAATCCTCCTTGAAATAGTTATACAGATTTTGAGGATTAAGATTAGCTCACTCTAAAGAGAGCCACAGACCCTTTAATGCGGGTGGGGCAGGGGGTGCAGCTCAGCAGAGCACGGACACAACAGCAAATCAGACATTCTCATCCCACTCTCTGGGCTGCTCTGCTGCGGCGCTCCTGAAAAAGGAAAGGGCTGGTAGTGATGAAACACCCACCCTTGCAGGGTATCCGAGTGAGGTTCAGAGGGGCCACATACTAGAGCCACAAAAGAGATGGCTAAGAAAAATTTTTTTAACATTTCTTCTGGGTGGCTTAGTGGTTGAATGTCTGCCTTTGGCTCAGGTTGTGACCGGGGAGGTCCTGGGACTGAGTCCCGCACTGGGCTCCCTGCAGGGAGCCTGCTTCTCCCTCTGCGTATGTCTCCGTCTCTCTCTGTCATGAATAAATAAATAAAATCTTTTTTAAAAGTTTTTCTTCTATATGTTACCTACATTTACGTTAGTGTGTGCACATGTGTGTTGTATATATAAAATAGTTTGTGGCTTTGCTCTACTCCCTCAACATCACCAAATTCAAGGACCTTATGACATTATGTTCTAAGACCAGAGATTACAGTTACTTTTAACACACCCTTGCCCCTGAATCAATTATTGAGGCTCTGGAGAATAATCTCAGAGGCCAGCACACTTTGAACTGGGATTACAATTACTGGCAGTAAACTGCAAAAAATCAAACCATTTCACAGATAAAAAGAGTTGATGATAACTGTGCTTACTTTCATGGCATTTAATTCCATAAACGTCAATGTTCGGATCAAACTCCCCAGGAGCCAAGGGCGGGGAGCTGTTCAGCGTGTTCCCGGGACTGTCTGGAGGGGTCCCGACGGGGTGAGTGCCATCGCTCTCACCCTCCTCTTCCCCATCATTCTCTTCACACTCCACCTCTTCCTGTTCAGCTCTCTCCACATCGTGGATTCCCACCAGTAGGCTGTAGTCCATGAGCTTTAACTGGGCAAGAAACTGGGGATGGGAGGCAACAGGGTCAGCTAGGCCTTAACACCTCAGATTTGAAGAGGACAAGCTCAGGGAAATGCATGGGGCACACTGCAAGTGAAGGCAGCAGAGACGAGGTGAGGGTCTCCCCAAGAGGTGGCCAGCCGCGGGGGGGCCTCCCTTATGAGGCTCTCTCAGTTCCGGGCTGCTCTCTGGCCAAACATGTAGCCCCCCACTTCAGGCTGGCCGTGTACTAGTATTATTTTCCCTGAAACGCAAAGCTGGACGCTGAGAGGCATACATTGATCACATAGAGCTTGGATTACACCAGAGAGCAGAGAGCATGACTGGCAAGAAGGAGGGAGGAAAGCTGTTCTCCCAACAATTAAGACTGGCTGATGGGAAAAACCAAGGACCTCCCAAGTAGCTTCCAGCAGAGTCTCTTGTGAAAGCACTTTGAAATTCAGCACACTGGGCAGAGAGGAGATTATTATGCTGTCCATCACAAATAAGTAAAAGCCCAAATGTCCCAATCAACCAGCAAATGCCTGTGTCAACGCTTTGGTGAATAACGAAGTCCTGTCCTGCTCCACTTTCCTGAGGATGGAAGCGGGAGGACCAGAGACTCTGAAGGTGGTTCGCTTCTCAGGATTCCCCCTCCTCCTTCCCCGGCTCCACCTCGGTGAGACCCAGCTCTTCGGGTTAGCCTACTCCTGCCTGCCGGGTTCTGCTTGGATTCTCAGGTCAGGACTCTTCTTAGAGATACCCAGACACCTGATCTGAAGCAATCGCTCATTTCAATTTATTGATCGATAGATTTATCTAGTTAAAGCGTGGCTGGTGTTAGGGAGGACACAACGTGGCAGGCCATCTGCTGGCTAAAGCTAAAGCACTCCCTGCTCCCCAGCGGCTGGCTCGGCCCGGCCCGGCCCGGCCCGGCCCGGGACTGCTCTGACCCTGGGCTCGTGGCCCAGGAAGACGTGTGACCCCGACTCTTGGAGGACTTGGTGCCACCCTCGCTCAAGGATGCGGAGCAGCTGGTGGGCCTTGGGTGACTCGGGCTGAATTGAGGAAATGGCAAGCATATGAAACCATAGGTCTTGACGTTCTGGCTGAAAATGAGGTGAAATCAATTTGTGGAGACCCGTGGAGTCATTATTTTCTCCAGAGCCTGTTAGGAAGCAGCTAGGTTTCTGAGCTGAGAGGGCCGGGCTCCCTTAAAGACAAGGAGAGGACCTGCCCCCGCTGCTCCCTGAGGCCTTCAGCTCCTCACTGGACCAGGCCTCCTCTTGCCTGCTCTCCTCCTCCTCAGTCCCCATTTCCTTGTCTGCCCACCATCAGTCCCCCAGGGGCCAGACTGACTCCTCATTTAAGCCCAGGGGGGAAAAAAAATCACGCAAACCTTTGTTTAGATATGTAAGCAAGGTAGGAGAAAGCTCATACTTAGAAAGAAATTGATGCATGCAAACCCTTTCACAAAAAAGAGTGCTGAGTGGCCAACAGGCACACAGAGATGCTCAACATCACCCATTGTCAGAGAAGGGCCGATCAAAACCACAATGAGATGTCACCCACACCTGTCAGGATGGCTAGTATCAGGAAGACAAGATAACAAGTGTTTGTGAGGATGTGGAGAAGAGAGAACCTCCTGCGCCGTCAGTGGGAATGCAAATTGGGGCAGCCCCTGTAGAGAACAGTATGGAGGGTTCTCAAGGAATTAAAAATACAGCTGCCCTATGATCCATCTGGCAATCTCAGTCCTGGTATGTAGCCAGAGGAAACAAAATCATCATCGTGAAGAGACCTCTATATCCCCCTGTGCACTGCAGCATGATTCATCATAGCCAAGGCAGGGAAACAAGCTAAGTGTCTGTCAATGGATCAAGAAAATGTGTACACACACACACACACACACACACACACACACAGTGGAATGTTAAGCCTTAAAAAAGAAATGCTGTCATTTTGACAACATGGATGAACCTGGAGGGTGTTATGCTAAGTGAAATAAGCCAGACAAGGAAAGATATATACTGTGTGATCTCACGTGTGTGTGTGATTTGAACTCAGTGGCTGCCAAGGGCTGAGGGGGGTGGGAAAAATAGGGTGGTAAAAGGGTACGAGCCTATAGCTATCAGATGAAGGACCTAATACATAACATGGTGACTATAGTTGGTAACGCTGTATTGGATAATTGAAACTTGCTAAGAGAGTAGAACTGAAATGTTCTCACCAGAAGAAAAACAAAAAAGGTAAATATGTGAGGTGATGGTTGTGTTCATAACTTGAGGGGGAAATCCTTTCACAATGGATACATCCATCAGATCATCACTGTGTATATACTGAATATCTTATAATAATATGTTGGTCAACTATAGCTCAGTCAAGCTGGGTAAAGAAATAAAGATGTTCCTTATTCTAGTAAAAAAAAAAAAAAAGCCAATAACAAAACAGCACTGATTCTCATGCCTTCAATCAATTTTCTGAGCCCCAGAGACAGAGGAAGCTGTTCCTCCTCCCATGGGCTCTCCCAAACTCCTCTTTTAAAGTAATCACAGAACAACTTTCCACTTCCACCTCCCTCAGCCTGTGGCCATAGACTGCTCATCCTCCCATACCCCCCTGGCACTGCTGGGTGTCAGTCAGGGTGCATATGGCCAGGAACTCATTTGTGTGGGCAACCTTCCCCCTCTTGAGGGAGTGACAATACCGTGAAGTGCTTGAATCTTGTACCAACCGGCCGTGTAACTGGGTCTTGGGTACCTGGTGGGCTCCACATGAGCCCATGGATTTGGGGAGCACAGTGCACCCTGCTGTACGGAGACAGCTGGCCTGGCCCGACAGGCATTCCGATCCTGCACAGGCAGCCAGCAGGCTGAGGAAGATTAAAAGAGCTTGCCCAAGGAATCAAAGCTAAGAAGTAGTGAATTCCGGAGCCTAGGTTCAAAGCTCTTGGTCTTTATACTGCATTACTCTGCTTCTGGAAACTGCATTAAGGCAGCTTTTCCCAAGTCCTGCTCTTTGCAACGCTGGTAGGGAAAAAATGAGTCAATCAAATCAAATGGTTTCTGAGGAGGAGGGCCTCCCAGTTACTAGGACTGCGGGTCTCGGCGAGGGTATCCGCCACCAGCATGCCAACAACAGACTTCATCACAAAGCCTGCTTTCTTCCCCCTTCAAAACACCCCGGGGGCCTAGTGATTCAGAAACACCACATCAGAAACACCCAGTCATACCCTCTCACCCCCAGCAGGTATGACGAGTGGCCTTGGGTCCCGGGAGGCTGTGCCTGGGGCTGAGCTCGGCCTGAGCTCCCGAGAACAGGGCCAGTGCCTCTTTTGTTTCCTGCATTGCCCCTGCCCTCCCCCCACTGCACAGTGCCTGCCCCGACCCCTCTTTCTAGAATCCATCTGGCCTGCCCCCTTTGCCCATCCTGGACACCCTCTAGAGGTCTGGGCTCAGCTGCAGACACTGGTTCCCAGGTGGCAACATCTCCCCACAGAGGTCCCGTGTGTGTGTGTGTGTGTTGTGGCTATAAGGTGGGTGGGGGCTTGGCCAGGCCAGGTCCTGTTCTGCTTCATGGGTGGCAGGGCAAAGACCCCCTACTCTCCATCCCTTTTCCCAGGGAAGTGGTAACGATCGATGCTATGCCTACTGCCCCCCAGTCCCCTGCGAAGGGAAGAGCTTTTCAAAATGCAAGTGTGATCTTGCCCTGCCCCCGCTTAAGGCCTTTCGATGGTCTCCCACGTCTTGCAGGGCAGAAGCAAACTCGAACATGGCCCAGTGGGCCAGGACAGTTCGGCCTGTTACTCCTTGGGCTGTCCTGACCCTATTCCGGGCCACCTTCTGGCCCTCTCACCAGCACCCAGTTGCCTCCCACTCAGATCCTCCAGATCTCAGCTGCGGAGACACCTGCTTACAGAAGCCTTTCCAGATTCCTGACTTGGCCACATCCCCAAAGTGCAGGCAAGGATAGATGGACCAGCACACTTTTCCCTACTGATGCTCGGCTTAGGTGCACGTTTATCTGGTGAGATTATCTGAGTAGACGTGTCTTCCCCGAGCATGGCAGCCCACGAGGGCAGGGACTCTGGCTGTTTCTGCCCTCGCTGCATTCCTGACTGCCAGGAAGTGATCGTAGGTCTTGCTGTGCACTGAACAAGTGAACTAGGACCCTAATTTCCCTAACGCCTTTCTCGAAGAGATAAGCATCCCAGCCAAGTAACAACATAGAACAAAGCAATAAGGAAACCCTTAGTTTGAGACCAAAGGCAGAGGCAGCAGCTCCTAGAAGCAAAAGGAGACCTTTACCCTGCGTCTCTGCAGAACGGACTATCTCTGTGACATGTAAGTCTACTGTTCGACCTTCAGATGGCTGGCTTTCAAACATGCCTTCAAGTGTGTGCTTTACTATAAAAGTGAGGGGCTGCCCTCCATGAACCTGCAAAGGTCAGCCGGGCCGGGATGACAGCCGGGGCTGGACTGCCTTACTCGGTAGGGGGTCTGCGGGCCTGAGTGGCCCCTCTTGCGTCGGTGCTGCTCACAATGCTAGGCCCTTTCTCGGCCGCAGCTCTGCAGTCACACCGGGCTCCTTGCCCAGTAAGGAGGCTCTGTACCCAAAACACCAAACGAAACCATCGGTGACTGGTAGAAGCTGTTCTGACCCACCCAAGGTCCCGGAACCCAACTGCAGCCCCCAGTGGCTATGACATTGTAAGTTTTCAGATCTATGACACTGAGGGGGAGATGCAAGACCAAGGACAGCACAGTGGTTAAGAGCATGGGTTTGCTGGTAAGGGTGACCCTGTGAGTTCCTTAAGTAAAGTACCAGATAATCTTTAAAATCAAAAGAGAATGGGTTTGGGAATCAGATGGGAGATTAAATCTTCTTTCTCTCACTTCTTAGCTCTGTGCCTTCACAATGAGTTTACCTCTCTGAGCTTCAGTTATCGAACCTATAAAATGGGATAATACCACTGAACTCACAGTGGGGTGGACAGAGGAGAGAGAGAGAGAAAATCCAGCTTTGGCAATGAAGACAGCGCCTCGCAGGTGACAATGGAGGCTGTTTTGTAATTGCCTGTGTTGTTATTACAGTGGAAGGCCTTTCTCATCAAACCCCCACTTTAAACACGTTGACATGTTCAAGTCAGGTAGGCCCATAAGAGAAATGGAAAAGGCCCGTAGATTCACCAGCTCTTATCTTCACAAACTTAGTTTTAATTCTCTTCTGAAGTGGAATGGAATGAAATGTGGCAATAAACCCAAGATTCTTGTTAGAGAAAATTCCTGCTGGGTATCACAAAACTACTGTGGCCTGGAAGATTCCACATGGAGGGGAGGGGTAAGGAGGGAGGGGAGGAGGGAGAGGAGGGGGAAGGAGGGGCTCCACTGCTGGGGTTTGCCTGAAGCTGACTTTGAGGAACTTAATACATATTTGCTCTGTTTTCTGTTCATCCTTTTAAGCTTCTGGCTCCAATTTATTGATTTTTTTTTAAGTACATAAGATTTCAAAGCATGACCATTTTTAAATCTTTATAATCCTTAGACCCTTCTTTGCCTTTCCTCCTTTCCAGCTTCTTAATAATTATTTGCCAGACCTTTGGTCGGCTTCTTTTTCCCTCATAACATCTCACCTAATCTGATTCCTTCATAATTAATTCCTCTTTATGCCAAATCTTTGAGCTCGAATCTTCTCTGAGACCTCTAATGAGCCCTGCCACGAGCCCTTCTAGAGAACTATGTGGTAAGAGCACTATTAATAAACTCTCCTTCTCAACATTTAAACTCGCTTTATTTGCTAACTTTATTAACACATTGGTTCGACTGAATTAACACATCTGCAATGCAGAATTCAAACTCCAGCCAGCCCTATTTAACAGCTATTATGTGTCACTTGTTAAAAGTTTTAATAATCCTCCTCTGGAGCATTTATTGGGAAACAAAGTCTCAACTGTGTTCTCGCAGACATTTTCGGTTTGTGTTTTATATCAGAGCAGTTTAGAAATGTGGCCTCTGCCAGCCTCAAATCCCAGCCTGGACTTAGTAGCTGTGTGTGTCTGAGCAACCTGCATAGAGTCTCCGGGCTCAGTGTTCTCATCCATAGAGGGGGTGACGGCCCGCATCCTCAGGAGTTGTTACAAGGGAAGAGAGAATGACTGCACAGGAGGAGTTCGGGCTCTACTCATGGCTCGGTCAATGTCAGTGGCCCACCTTCTCCTTCCCGCACACCCAGTAACACAACAGTTGAGATGCCCTGCAGTAAGGGTGCTCCCAGGCACCCCTGGGCTCCCAGCCTGAGCCCATGAGAGGAGATCATGCCGCCTCTCCACCATCCACTGTCATTGGTCGGAGCCGGCCACACGCAGGCCAGAAGGCCAAAGTGATTTTCACTCTCCACAGAGCACTGTCTTTTGGAGAAACGGGCTCACCAATACGTAGTTATGTGCAAAGCTTTCTGAACTGAAATATTTTCAGGGTATATGAACAGAGCAGGATTTCAGTTGCAGGAAAAAAAAAAGCAGCTAGATTCTCATGACAGTTATTTTCTTTTTTTTTTTTTGCTATAAAAACAGATTACCTCTTGGGCTGTAATAGACTCCTCTTTTATCTTAAGCATCAAGTAAAAAACAGAGTTGTCCCTGCCCCCATCCCCCACCCCAAACCAAAAAACTATTCTCAAACTAACAGGCCAGTCAGCTGAATTAGAAAGCAGAGTGTTAATGAAAAAACAAAACTAGATTAAATTCTAGTCTCATTTATCAAGATCAGATGTCAAGCTACTTCACCATAATTACCTGCTTAAAAATTTAATGATGCTTCTGCATGAATTTCAAAACTAAAGATATTTTTATCAGCCATTGAGATTTTTTTTTTAATGAAAGAATGCTTTATGCCCTGCTTCCATTTCAACAAAACAGCTAAGTGCGAGAGCCCTGCATGGGATTAAACTATCCAAATCCTCTAATCAAGGACATTATTAGAGACAACAAAAGGGCTGAGAGGATCCTCATGTAATTCAACTGTAAATGTGTACTGCTTCAGTTACATTATGTCTGGAGTCTAAATATCCCAGTGATACACAGCCAACAGAAAAAAGCATGGAAACAAAAAAAAAATCAAAAATAAATTTTTTTTGGCAGAGTGCACATAACCCTAAAGGATATTTACCATAATTGCTCAAATGGTCTTTTTCTCAGGATCAAAGATTTGCTGATTGATGAATAAAAAACCGAAAGTGAGGACATCTACCTAGAGTACTTATCACTTAGATCAAGTTGACACTGAAGTATGGGAAATGTTTAACTAATGTTTAACCAATAAAGACTGTAATAGTAACCACTGGCAACAGTGGAAAAATAACTGTTTATTAATGAAAGACTGGAGAAAAAAATTGTAAACGATAAAAGCAAACACTTTTTTCAACTTCCCTTTGTAAGCAGACGCTTGTATCCTTCACAAAGAAACAATATTTAGGTTCTAACTGAAGTATATACACCAAGTAGGTTAAAAAAATAAGTAAACATTTTTTATGAAAATAGTTCATAACCTAAAAAACAATTACGAACTCACTCAATCAGCCTGGGTGTCTTACAATGGAAGGGATGTCAGAACTCTATAAAGGGAATTGTAAACCTGCTCTGCCCTATTGGGGGATACAGTCGAACGCAAGACACTCATTCTCTGGTTGAGCCATTTTCTTTGCTTTTGTTTAATGACATCAAGAAGTAAACTGTCCACTAGGGCCTCTCTCTGAGTAGAGAGTTGTACTGGTGTGTGTATGGGTGGGGGATGGCAGAGGGGGGGACGACTGTATTTCAAAGTAAAAAAATAAAAATTTAAAAAAAGTATACCACATTCACATGTGCATATGACTGAAAGTAACAGCTCAGAAAAACTTTGTTTAGTAACTGTCTACATTAGGATTTCCTTTGCATAGTCATGTAAACCTAACAAATCTCAAGAAAATCTTTTTTTCCTTGAATTAATTTTTAAAGGACTCTTTATAAAAGGATGTCCGACAAGAGAGCTGTGATGCCTTTAAAATCAACAAAAGGATAGGGGTAAGTATATTTTAATTCTTAAACAAAATAACACCAAAAAAAAAAAAAAACCCACAAACACCCTCCCTCATGAGAAACAAAAAGCCCATTTTCACACAATATTTTACGTGTCACAGCCACCTCCTGTGATGCCGGGGTCGCGAGCTGCCTTTGTGCTGTTCCCACGAGGGGGAAGGTTTGGTGGGCCTAATGACACTACTTTCACAGAGGCTGGTGGAAATGTGAAAGCACCAGGTGACCGGGGCGGTGTTTACTCACAGCGAGATGTGGTTTAGATGAAGAAAACCCCACATTCAAATAGTTACTCAACATTTGTTTTTTGAAATGTTTTGCTGTGTGACAGGTACCCTCCCTCTGGCTGCGGCAGTGAGAGCAGGCTGCCACCACACAGGCTCCTCTCTGACCAAGAACGTGGGAACCTGAGGGTGGGGACGCCCGGCAGGCGATGGCCGGTGCCTTCCTTGGTCCATCATCTAAAGGAAGGAGCTGCTGAACCAGCACACTTCTTTCCTGAACCAGATCATCTAGAAGGATGCACCTGTTTCGATCTGATGTTCATCAGGTACAGTATGTATTTTTTGCCTCGGTTGCAGATTTAAGCAGATGGTTGAAGAAGCTTCTAAAGACCAAGAGTGGTGACATTTCTACGATGGGACTGCCCTTTACCTCGACTTTTCTTACCTCAACATCTTTCTTCAGTTTTTCCAGGAACACCTTTTTGTTGTTGTCATCAATATAAATCTTTTGACCCTCATTAATGAAATCATTATCCTTTAAAGTCGGTAGTTCTTTGGCCTGAAACAAAGGACAAAGAGTATGAAAGGAGTTTGAATGAAATCTAAGAAATATATGCCTTCCAGCCCAGGAGGTTAGGCACCCACCCCGGGAGATGGAGTCGGCCTGGCTCAGGGCAGGCGTCTTACCCAAGGCGACAAAATGCGAGGTGGCTTGACCACCGCGAGGGGGCACCAGTGAGCTACGACCACTGGACGCAATCTCACTAGGAGTGGAGGGTCACGCATTCTCCATATTATGAAGTTTGGTAACAGATTTCACGGCAGAAACCTGCCTGCTTTCTTAGATTCACTCTCTTACAAGAAGTCTTCTAAGTATAGAATTTGTATTCTTGGACTTTTGTCAGGAACCTCCAATTTCCTTACTGGTACAACCCAACTCCACACCCGCGACACTTTTTGGATAGCCTTTGCTGGGCTCATGTTACAAATAACAGGTTATCTTGTCTCAGGAAAGCACCACCCATAATCGTATCTAATTTCTCAGCCAAGAAGAATATGCGGCCAGAGGTTGGCCATCTGCTCCTTCTAGAAGGTCACCACCCCATCAAGAAGAAAGTTCTGGTTGCATTTGGACAATGCCAAAGGAAAATGTCTTGAGACATATTAAAATAAGAAGTTCTGTCTTTTACAAATAAACAAGAGGGTGGTGAGCCGGCAACTACCCTGTCCTTGTGCTGACGGCCACACGCACAGTAAGGGGTGACTATCAAAACATGGGTCACAAGCAGTAGAAAAACACAGCTTATCCTATAGGATAATATGGGCATATACTTTTAGTGTGGATTGTTCTATGCAACTTCGTGCACCCTGTATTCCGGGAGAGCTCAAGACCAATCAAAACCCCTCCCTACTCCCGTCAGCTAATCATAGCTTATTTCTTTCAGCTGAAAGGAATCCAACATAAGATATTTTCTTAGTATGCTAATGAATGTCTCAATGGCTAGGTTTCCCATAAGTGTGAGCTAAATGAAAAAAAAAAAAATCCGAGAACATACTCTCCTTCCTGCTCCCCATACTGTGACCCCTGCTGTTACTCAGAGTAATAAAAGAAAACCCACTCCAGAGATACACAGAAGCATCTATCAAAGGCCCCAACTGCTCTGTGTAAACTATTCACATCTGTCTGTACATACACATATACACACATTATGTAATTCCAAATTTGTAGCTCTGGTACTCATCTTAATTTTGCAAAAAAATTCAAAGTCTTGCAATTTTTTAAAAAAGATTTTATTTGAGAGAGAGAGGGAGAAAAGAGAGAGCACGTATGCATGAGCAGGAGGGGCAGAGGGAGAGTGAGAAGCAGACTTGCCCGCTGAGCAGGGAGCCTGATGCTGGGCTTGGGCTTGATCCCAGGACCCCAAGATCATGACCTGAGCCAAAGGCAGACACTTAACTAACTGAGCCACCCAGGTGCCCTAGAAGTTTTGTGATTTTTAATTTGCTAAAACTATTGCCAAAATAATTATCTTTACAAAGCGAGTATAGCAAAGATCAGAAATCCAAAGATTTGATTCAATTAGCAGTTACCAAATGTCCATGGATGCAAAAATGAACAGGTCAACATTTCTATTCTAAAGGAGTCTGTGATCTAGTGTGAGAGAAAGACAGGAGAGCAAGCAGGTAAAAAACTAGGTCGCAGGAGTATGCAAAATGGACAAATAGAACCATTCTTGGAGGCGACTGAGCTTTCAAATACTTTTATGCTGACGGAATAAAAACACAATGCGGTTCTTCACAAAAGCCATGGAGGGGCCTGGTAGGCTAGACTGGCTCCCTAAACCTGTCCTTAATAATTTTAAAATGTCATAAGTGCGACATAAAAGACCCTAAGTGTGAAGATAGTACATTAACATGAAATGTTGGAGTCAAGCACAGACAACCCTCCGTTCCTCTGCCATCACAATCATAAACGTAACCAAGTTTCACAGTGAAAAACGCAAGGATCCGAAGTTTAACCAACCCTGGTGAAAAGCACGGCCCGAATTACGAAATTGGGAGGGCCTTAGGGAGAGGCAGGCGTGCAAGGGGACAACCCGGGCGGCTGGGTGTGCGTGTGGGGGGCGGTGTTACGGATCAAGGTATCAGCCCCAGCCCCCCACTCACTCCACCCGTGGGCGAGAAGAACGGCCCAGGGAGTTTTGCTTTGGGGGAGCAAGGGAAACCCTAAGCCAGGGATGTCAGAGCAGAGCCAAGGCAGGAAATGACACACTGGATGGGTGTTTGCAATTGCAGGCACATTAATGAAGATGAAGGCCATTTGGGGCTCCCCCCTCCGCACCCCCAGGCTTACCTCATGTGACAGGGAGAACTTAATCCCAGCTCATAAAACTCTGGGCACCCTGTACTAGACTAAGCTCACTTGTGATTTCACAGGCACTGGGGACGTACTTAGACTGGATCAAGTTTTAAAAAGGGCAACCAGATTGGTTAAAAGACTTAAGGGCTTACCCACAGGCTCAGGAAACAGGCAGATCCTGAGCGGGGCAGCTGCTGGAGGAATCCAGCCCTGGTCTACACATGCCCACCCCCAAGTGCCTGTGTGGGGCAGCGCGTGGGGGCACCACCGGGGTTCCCGGGACGTGATCCTGGCTCCCTGCCTTACAGGCCGGGGCCCAGGCTGCGGCTTTAGCTCGGAAGGGGAGACACTCAGCCCCGGCCGCGTGGGTGCTGTGCCAGCAGGCATTTCACGTGCACCGACTCATTTCAGTGCGTCACCTCGTTTCCCAGCAATCTTAACTCTTACCCTTGGGTTCATGCCGATAGGGAAACTGGGTGCAGATTATGCACGTTAGCTAAGGCCTGCGCTGAGCTCGGGGCAGGCAAGCGCGACGAGGAAACTAGCTGTCACCTGGAGATGGGACCAGGCTGCCTTAATGCTTCACCTGCGGCTCTGGGGCCTGTGCGCAGAGCTCCGCCCAACCCCGTGTGACACACTTCAGTAGTCAGAGCCGCTTGTCCTCACCATCGTGGTCGATGTGAACATTCAACGGATTGTATGGATTTAAAACATAAGGGGCAGCCCCGGGGGGCTCAGCAGTTTAGCACTGCCTTCAGCCCAGGGCGTGATCCTGGAGACCCGGGATCGAGTCCCAGGTCAGGCTCCTTGCATGGAGCCTGCTTCTCCCTCTGCCTGTGTCTCTGCCTCTCTCTCTCTCTCTCTCTCTCTCTGTCTCTCAAGAATAAATAAATAAAATCTTAAAAAAAATAGGTTGAGAGACTGCATACAAAATATTTTCTTAAAAAAGGAAAACACTTGATGTTCTTTTCTACTAAGAACTAGGTGACAAAGATGAAGTCACCTGACCGTAACTCACGCCCAAGAAAGCCTTATTGCTTAGCTTTTCAAAAATTTTTGTCAATTTTAATTCCAGGATAGGCAAGTTGGGGTCCTGTTAGTTTCAGGTGTCCACCACAGTGCGTCCCCCGCTGTACTGGTCCCCCTTCCCCCGCCTCTGCTCTGCTAACCATCTGTTTGTTCTCTAGAGTTGAGAGTCTGTTTCCAGGTTTGTCTTTTCTCTTTATTGCTTAGCTTTCAGAACAATTTCAACATAGCCTTCTGATAATGAGAAGTATTTATATTTAAAACACCTTTTTTTTTTTTTCTTAAAGAAAACTACCACGCTATGGATGAATGACCTTACAAACCTCTTGGGTTCACCGCCCACAAAGGTGAGGGCTGCGGAGTAGCACAGAAATAACCGTGGGTAGCAACGGAGCCTACTCTTTGCCTTGCAACACTGGATTATTTGCACCCAGGAGAGCTTTGAAAGCCTCGAAGTGGCAGGTCTGGTTCTTTAATGGGTGTCTTTCATACTCTTTCTAGTTCAATGTGGAACCAGCCAGAGGGCGGAGGAAACCCCCAGAGCTAAAGACATCAGCTCAGAATCGCTTCTTAACTGCGGACTCGCCGAGCCTGGCTCCTGGCCAGCGGTCAGCAACCTTTCTGAAGTGGTAGTAGGTGAAGTCTTTATTTATTCCCTCTGAATTAAGTCCTCTTGGCTGGTTTTGTGGAGACTGGGAGCCTCCGGGTGGGATGGGGGAATTGCAGCACCACACAATGTCCTCCTCCTTGGCGATGCCAAGGACGTGCTACATCACCCTCCCCAGGCTGCCCAGCCCTGGCCAGGGACTCCAGCCTGGGAGCTGCTCCCAGGCCCCAGCCAGCTGAGGGAGGCGTGCACAACCAAGCTCAGCATCGAGTCCAGCAGGGCCCAAGTGTAATGAGGCACGGTTACTTCCCCTTTTGATAATTCTACTGGGGTGGATTGGACCCAAAATGACATTCACCTCTACTATCGTGAGGCGTATGCATAAAGACAGCCAAAGGCATAAGCAGAGAGACACTCTTGCCCTTGCAGCCTAGGTAGGATCTTGCTTCCATTGTTTGGATAAAATTAGCAGGATGTAGACCCCTCACACTTCCCTGCTGGGTGACGCCAGACCCGGGGTCCATTCAGCATGGCCCAGCATGAGACACAGACACAAATGTCAGGTTATGAGCACAAACAGGGCCCAAGCTGCCGGTGTTATACCGCAGCTCCTCTGATTATTAGCTGTGCGGCTTCGAGCAAGTTACTTAACCTCTCTGTGACTTGGTTTCCTCCTCTGTTTTTTTTTTTTTTTTAAGATTTTATTTATTTATTCATGAGAGACACAGAAAGAGAGGCAGAGACACAGGCAGAGGGAGGAGAAGCAGGATCCATGCAAGGAGCCCGATGTGGGACTTGATCCCTGGAATCCAGGATCACATCCTGAGCCAAAGGCAGGCGCCCAACCACTGAGCCACCCAGGCATCCCGTTTCCTCTTCTTTGGATTGGGATTAGCAAACAGCATTGCTGTGAGAATTCCTTGAGTTCATACATATAGAGCTTAGGGCAGTGCTTGCCCCTCAGAGGATTATACAGAAACAGTGTTATTTGTTGGTCATGTTCTCAGGTATGGATTGTGTAGCTAGAGAAAAACTCGTTGCTGATAAATCCAGAGCAAGGTTTTTT